TCCGAGACGCTGCTGCGGACCAGCGCGCCGCACCTCTCTCTCCGTCTCTACCGGCGTACACCGACCCCCACCTCCCTCGCTCACACACACACACAGGAGGGGATCTCGCCTCATCTGCCGGGGAGTAGAACTGTCGATAAACTGAGGCGGGGCCCTCGACTCACGTAACGAAAGGCAAAAAGGGCTGCTGACCCGCCGCTGCCACACAACATTGCCGCGGGCCGCCCAGCTCGAGCTATTTCCAAACCCCATCTCTCTTCTCCCCTTCATTATTCTCTACAAATGACACGTTATATTCCCCCGCACCGGCTCTTTCTCATACACCCCTTTTTTATTACGTATGTGTTTTTTTCTCATCTTTATGAATACTTCTCCGAACGCGCGGTGCGCCAAGGGCCGTTCTCTTCGTTATCTGTCGATATCCATTACCATATCGAATTACTGGAGGCCTGTGTATCGGGGACTGGTAACGCCAGGCCAGGTAGGTAGGGCCTCGGAGGAGCGGCTCAAGGTGCCAAGCAGCCGACTGTTGGACGGCAAAATAAAGATGAGTTAATTGTTGTAGTGAAACTGTGTGGTTCACAGTATGTCAGCTGTATTTGAAATCCAACTTATTTTAAACTCACACTCTAACTGGATTTGTATTTTTATGTGTACGAGTTTAATTAAGCAATCAAATTTTTTGCACACATTTTTCTGCGTTGATTTAAACATTTTTGTGCATTCATTTGTACAAAATCATGTACTTTGGCGTACGCCCTTGTGTCGCGGTCGGTAACGCGTACTCAGTTTCCCAGTGCGCTCCCTGATTTTGACCAACTCGTCCGAGATTTGTTGCAAAGCGTCGAATGTCATGGTATCTGCCCCTGCCCCTATCTGTCCATTTTTTTATTATTATTTTTATTTTTTTGAGCTGGCGGCTGGGCTGCTGCTGCAGCTTCCGCTTCCGTGCCTGCTGCGGGTGGGGCGGCGGCAGGCCCTATAGTTATTTCATGGAAACCAATACCCTCTCGCTTTTTGCCCTTTGTGTCCATGGGGTTTCCCTTGGATCTCTCGCGCGTCCACCACGCCCCCCCCCTTCTCCGCCGCTATTGCGAGCCTCGGTGCAGACCTCGAGCCCCCATCACCACTTCCACCCCCTTCTCCACCCTACCCTCCATCCATGCCCTGCCAATCCGCCCGCCGCCCTTCCCCCCTTCTCCGCCGTCCCAAGGCCTGCTGCCTTTGGTGCAAGTAATTAGATTTTATACATTCATGGCTCTTTGCCCCCCCCCCCTCCGATGGCGGCAGTGGCGTGCACCGGCGGGGTGCGCAACATTGTTTTCAAGCCACGCCGACCGCGCCGGGGGGAGTGGGGAGGGTTCTGTGTGCAAGACAAGTAGTGGTTGTCAATCTGGGCGCAGCGCCAGCAGTCGCGGTGATTAATTGCAGTCTTTTCATCTTATTCCGCTCTGGACGACGGCGGCGGCAGGGCATTAATTATAAACACAAAACGGCTTTATGCGTTTTCACTCCGAGTCTTCATCGTCGTGTTTTTGCATGGAGGGCCGCTGCTGCCGCTGCTCGTTTTGTCTTTCGCTGACGAGGCCTCCGCTGGGCCGCGGGCAGGGACTTTTGGCTCGCGCTGCTGCTGAGTGAACGGGGGTGATGACGGTACTTCCGGGGCTCGCGGAAAGGGGGTGGGGGGTTTATCGCAATGGCGTAGCCGTGTTCACCCGGACTATCTTAACTTTGAAAAATTTGTTCAGGTTCAGCTAAAGATTTACTACCAACCGTTTTTTCGCACTTTTTTTCAAACTGTACACTGCATTCTCTTGAAACAAGTGCATGCACTCAGTTTATTCGAATAATAACATTTTCAGGGTACCCCTAGGTTAATTTCGACAGAACAAAAACGCCTACCAGAAATCCTGGTCACCACTCCTACACTGTTAAAAATTTCTTGGGATTTCCTGAAGAGTCACTTTCCACCACTAGTAGAAATTCCCAGAGGACTCCGTCCTAAGTTTTTGTGCACTAAAAACAGATGTTAAAGTTGGAAGTTTTCATTCGTCTATATGTTTCAAAGCTAAACTCGGCACGCGAAATCTACAGAGTTCTTTGGGAAATCCCAAAGGGCTTCGGCAATACTTTTCACTAATGTTCCTCCGTATAATCCCAGGAGTTTTTCTAACAGTGTAAGGAGTTGAAAGGTGTTAGCAAAGAAAAAGAGGCGCAGACCGAAATTTTGTTTTTTATGTCCGGGATGAGACTAAACCTCGTAGCAACAGCTACGCTGGCCGTCCTCCCCTGCTGTTTCGTGTGTGTGCGTGAGTGTGTTTTGTATCCGCTCCATTTGACCCCGCAGAGATGAAAAATGTACGGGCGCGGCTGAGCGCAAGACGATTTGTCGCTAACCCCCCTGTCCTTTTTTGTTCCAGGTGAGTGAGGCGGAGCGCCGGGGCCGCCGGGGCCGCCGGGGCCGCCGGGGCAGGCAGGCACGCTCGCTGGTGGGCTGGGCCCGAGCCGCACGGCCCGCCCCACAAACCAACCACTTTGCGGTAAGCCATGCAAACGGACCAAGTTTGGTTGCCTTGACGAAATTATGATGAATGTCTTATTCAGTCGCAAGCAGGCGGAAGGCCCGGAGGGGTAGGGGGGGGGGGGATGACTGGGATATCACATCCGAGACGCTGCTGCGGACCAGCGCGCCGCACCTCTCTCTCCGTCTCTACCGGCGTACACCGACCCCCACCTCCCTCGCTCACACACACACACACACAGTGTGCCTCGCTTGTTTCCTGCTCGACATTTCCCTGCGAGTTCGTTAGAGAACGGAGCGGGACGCACTGTTAAACTGCATCGTCATGTGACGACAAATATTGCTACAAATTATTCGTCACAGGGGCTGAGATAAAACAATCGTCACATCACAAGAAATATTCGTCACAATGTGATGTAGCATTTGTCATTTCATTTAAATGAACCATTCGTCACGTGACACACCAATAGTCCCAAATACATCAGATTATTCGTCACAAGTTATCCAAAATTAGTAGCAGTACAATCCACAACAATAAATATGTTTGAAAACGATATTATAACTGCAACTAGTTTTCACTTGTTTTTCACATGTTCTAATGATGTCTCCTACGCTTTTTGTTACAACTATACACTTTGATTAAGTAAGATAGGCTTTGAAGCTTTGAGATTCATTTGAGAATCAGAATAAAGTAAACAAGTTTAAAAAACATTCCTTTTAAATAGAGTGTACAGTTGGAACTAAAACTAGTCATTATTTTTTTTGAACCACTTACTTGTAAGGATTAAAATCTCCTGTATTCCTTTAATGACCATGTCTGCATTTCCTGAGGTTGTTGGTGATTGAGAAACTTTAACCTCATCGAGCCAAATTGACAAGAAACAAAATGTTAGGTTTCCGAAGGGATTTTGCCTTCCAAAATATCCACACACGAAGAAATTAATTTGGTACACTTGGCATTGTTACAGTAGTAAGTTGCCATTCGCGAATAATTCTTTTTCGGACTGTTTCATGAGACGTATACTTTCGTTGCAAACGGGACCGCCGGTTCTTTTGAACTGCAAATAACCGCGCTCATAGTGCGCAGAACGAAGTAATGAGAAATTGCCGAATCATATAGTTGTTTACTTTCGTCTGCTGATTCTTTTCCATTCAGCATGGCAACATTTTAGCGGCAGACGTTCTGAGTATTTCCCAATTTAGGATTGAAAAATACTGAAAAGAATGGATCCAAAACGCGTTGTACAGACTGTTTTCGAGTCGGGTACAACGTAGTAAGAGAAATGATTTAGAGTGGTGAACTTTTAATTTGTGGTTTAGGTACCTCTGTACTTATCTCAACATTCTGTGAAAACAAAGCACTCGATATTATAAATTGTTGTTTATCTGTACTTTTATCAACATTTTGTGAGCAAAGCACTCGATACAACTGTGCTTTAAACTCGATATTTCACAACACTTAATATTCAGGTAAACAGACAGTGCCTAACCACACTCTTGTGACTAATTTTTTGTTGTTTATGTGTCTGATCAGGTTAATGACTGTCGTCCTGGTTTGGTTTTAGCTGCAACCTCGCCACTGTTGCTATTTTTGTAGTGTTTTTAAACCTATGGATGTGATTGTGGATATGTATCTCCGAATTCCATACTTAGCAAGTAAATTGTGAGCATTGCGAGCAGCTATATCCATGAGCACCTTACCTTCGTAACATAGTCAGCTAATTTCAAAAAGATTGGTGAGTGCTAGGTGAGCTAGGTGAGTTTGTTTTGGCATTGGAATTGTCAGATACATTAAATTAAATAGATGCAAATGATTACATGATACGTTGCAAGTTACCACAAATTTTTCCTTTGCATTGAAGACTCCTCAGAATTGCAACCATTGGTGACGATTCCACTAATATTATTGGACAGGGGTTATAATTTCTGCTAGAGCCTATAAACTAAAAGCATAGCACCAAATTATTAAACAGCTTTTAAACGAACTGTTCATACTCAGCTATAGACCATATACCAGTAAAGCTGAAAAGAATGTGGTTTAATGTTTTACTTTTAGATTATAGACTTTATAAACTGTAACCCGTGACCAACAGTAGTGGAAGTGTGACAAAAGGTTATAACACACAAGTTTGAGTTAGGTCTTGATTGCAACACAAAAATTCATGTTGGATATCTTGCAAGAGACCAATAGATTTACTTAATATTTCTGATCATGCTATAAGGACCCTCATTATGATATTTCTATTCTCTTAAAGGAACACATCTTTTCTTTTGAATTTTATTTTATTGACTTCTTAACATATTGTTCATGTTTTGTTGTTGATTTTATAATTTGATTACAATATTACCTTACAGGTGTCTTGCTGACATAGCATTACGGATCACTTCAAAAATTCTTTGAACTTTGACAATATGTAAGTTGATTGTTTTTGATTAGTTGATATGTTTTATAATTATTTGATTATTACAATGCACTAGTTCTGTAGTGTTACATATTTCATTATTGTTGACAGTTTATATAATCTGATTGAATTTAATCTTAATAATGGCTACTGCTGATCTGACTTTTCACTTTCAGAAGAACTGACCTGGCTGAAATCTTTAATCAAGCAGTGTAACTTTGAGACCTTCGGATGTATAATGTTGGTCGGTCCAGCTTTCTTGTTTCCTTTCTCATCATATACATCTCGGGGCCTTTTGTGACCCTGGTCAGGGCTGATTGAATAAGCAAACCTTGAAAAACCAGAATATAATATAATATTTTATAAAATTCATATTGTTGATGAATTAAGTTTAATGCTCATTTTTGTTATCTCTTACCTTTGGAGATACTCCAAGGTGGCTGGAGTCTTAGGATGGTAATCCAAGTTTAGGACATAATAGGTCATAAATACCATCCCCATGGCTTCTACAAAGCTTTTTGTGGAGGACACAATATGCATGTCCACACTCAAGTGATATTTTTCTGCCTCAAAGAGGGTTTTCCCTAAAAACCAATCAAATTGTTTCAACATCATCATTTCTCCTTTTTGTTTGCAGATTAGAGAAGAGTATTTATTTCTGGACATACCTTCAGCAATCAGCCCAGGATAAACACTAAGATTGTCCTCATTAGGAGTGTCTACACAGAATTCCTTCAAAAAGAAGTAAATATTTTGTTATTCTCAATATTTTTTCTATTTTTCAAATGGGATACATTATTAGAGTATGCTGGAAACAATTAATTTTAACTTGCCTCATCAAGGAGAATTAAATCTTTGAAATCTTCACCAACATGTTGCGCCACTAATATGATGATTGCCTTAAGTTTGATTTCTGTTAGCTTCTGTTCATCTTCTCCTGCTGCTCGACAAGCCCTTTTATAACGCTTGAATGTATTCTTGTAGACAACATCTTGTGTCTTATCTCTTACACTCTTGAAGTAACTTAATGTTTCCTCTCCAGACTTTGTTATAAAAGTTACTAGATTATCAGGGTTAACCTGTGTTAACAACTGGAAATGTGTCTTCATTCCGAAGTGTGTGAAAAGGAAAGGCCATTCCTCTTTGACTGTAGTTATAGTGACCAATGCTGGGGGCTCATCTACATTCTGTTCTTCCTCAGGTCCCTAAAAGAAAGTAAAGTCAGTAATTAAAATGTCATATGAAATCTTTCCCAAAAGTGTTCTCAGTAACCTTGTCAGTAATATAAATGTTACCTGTTTTTTCCTTTTTCCATATCGCTGTTTTTTTTGCTCTTTTGCAGCTTCTTCATGATTTTGGTTGATGAGCTCTCTCTGATTCCTAAAAGTGAGAGTCATACTGTTTTCAATCTCATCTTTCTTCCAACGTGATGGCCTTGTGTCTTGGTATGTATCTTTCATGTCTTGCTTTATTTTCAAGATACTTTCTTCGGTTTCTCCCTCTGGTAAATTCTGTACTCGCCACCTCACACAACCATATGTATATTTAGCCCGAGGTTTCTCGTACTGTTCTTGGGTTGGGTTCCTTTGGAGATTATTCCTTCCTGACCTGTGGTCATTGTCGATCCCATCCACTAGTCTTTTTTTAAGTAGCCCTGGTAATTTTTTTCCATTTGGCAGCTGGATCATGAAGGATGATGGGTGAATCTCTGCGAGTTGGTCGAAAACATTTGCCATGACTTTCCTGTCTGCATCTGGCACCTTCTTGTTTACTTGCAAAACACATTCCTTTACAATCAGTTTTGACAGAGCGTTGTCAGGTTTACCACCTTTGTCAAAGAATTTTTTGTCTTTTAGAAAGTAAATTCTTTCCATGTTTAATTTAAAAGGCGGAATCAGAGGTGGTGTTGTAGTCGGATTAGGAGCATTCTGAAACAATGCATGAAAAGTTAGACCTGTTCTCAGGTGTACAATTGGAGGGAAGGAAAGGAGGGCGATGGGGGTGGAAGAGGGGAGGGGAGGGGGCCACTCTATTAGGCTCACTGATAGATTTCTTATCTTACCTGATCATGGTTAGCATTGACCGATGGCTCACCAGTATTTTGTCCCTCGCCACTGCCATTTTCTGGGGGAGCTTGGTTGGTTTGCTGTCTGTCACCACCATTTCCTTGATGTGGAGAGCCACCTGAGCCACCTGCATAGAACAATTAACCTTTATCCTTCAAAAATATTGTTGTGTTGAGTTAACTGCCATATTTCAGTTTCATTCTTACTTGGTTTGCTAAATCTATTTAAAATAGCACCCCTCACAGCACGTGCTTCAAATATAGTAACACCGTCAAATGTAGTTAAGTCAGTTACATCAATCAAGTCTATCAAGTCCTCTGACATACCATCTTTTGCTAATATGTGGTTTGCTAAACCCTCAGGAGAAGTCTGACTCCTGGGAAATCTTTGTAAACTTTCCTTTATTGTTTTGACCAATATTGATTTGAAATTTTCCATCTGCATAGTGAAATAATGAATATTAGTAATTTTAGTTGTTACATTTTAATATAATGAACTCGAAACACAGCCATTTGACTGTTTTTCCACTGTCAAAGTGTGTCCTCTTTCTGCCTAAATTTTGACTGGCTGTTAAAACCGAAAGTAGATATAGACTAACTTTGACGGCCAAATGACTGAAATGACTGTTTCATGTTCACTAGGTTAGCAGCTCACCTTTGATACACAAGCACATGAAGTTTGTCAGTAAATTAGAAAGTTAACGTTCAAGCTTCTCAATTTCGCTGGACCATTTGAATGCTCGTACCACCGTTTCCGCTGTAGCAGTGGTGCCAATAGAGCTAGCGCAAATTTCTAATCTTCCTCTTCTATTACATTAAAAAAGAAGGTTTTTGAGCCTCTGTTGATTAAAAGAAATCATGCGCTCATTAAAAAGAAAATTTCCCTTCTAAGTGCCTAAAATAATTATTTCGACAAGTTTTTTCGTGTTGTGGTTGTGTCCCTCCTAACCTGATCTGAATCCACTGCCTGTTTTGTTCGCTCGCTCTGTTTGTGTTTCGTCGGTGTCGGTGTTGATTTCCAAAAGTTATCTTTTCTTTTTCAATGACTTTGAAATGAAATAATCATCGTGGTAAAGCCATTTTCTATGCGATCTGTTGAAACATTTGTAACAGCTATTATAGGTAGTTTCGTATGTTACTTTTAGCTTCCTTTGCAGTTGTGAAAACCTCCATTTCTTTCGTAGTGTGGTTGGAGGGACTTGATTTAACCCTTTAGTATGTTGTTTCCATTTTATCCTATTCTGTTTTGGTGTGATTTAGGTCACAAGTCACTGAGGATGGAATAAATTTTGGTTCAATTTTCTTGCGTAGGCCTACCATACCTACTTGTGCCTTCGCTGCCAAGTTCAATACCTGTGTGATTTAAAAATACATGTTTACATTAGGGACTTTATCAACTTCAGATTTATTTAATCTATAACAAATTATCATTTGTGTGTACAGGTACTTCTATTTGATGTCCATCCTCATTTTATTGGGCGCGCCTCAACAAGTGACGTTTTGCTTTAATTGCTAGTGTTGTGGTGAGAGGCACCCTTTCTCCGTAAGTTTGTTCATTCTCCTGCTGGTTTTATTCTGTTTATTTATCCAAAGTAGTTGTATAGTATTGGCTTTACTTTTACTAACAGCTGTTCCTTTTTTGTTTCAGGCGTCATTTATTTATGGTCAGAACTCACTTGTTGCTCGCATTTCTCCTCGGTACTGCCTCCCATCAATTATGGTAAGCATTAAAGTAATGTGCTTTAGGGAATGCTATTAGCCTTTTAAAAGCAACTCAAATTTTGTATTTTATTGTTTCTTTGTGCAGGTATACATCTTGCTGAACTATAAATTCCCTCTTTGCTCCATTTGGTTTGCTTTTTCCAAGGATTAATTTCTGCTTGACTGTTTCTTTGTTTTTCCCTGTGGTGTATTTCTGCTGTAAGTGTTTCATTTTACTCAAGTTTATCCATGGTACTTATACGTCCTATATCTAATATATCCTTGTTTTGTTTCAGATAATGGGTGTGTCTATTGATGTTTGGAGAGCATCTATTGGCACATTTTGTCCTCTTAGAGTGTGTAAAAAGAAGACATGCTACACAAAGGTCAAAATTAAGAAGACAAAAGTGAACCTTGCATTTTGGTTTGCTGTTCTGGCACTACTCTTAGTAATTGGAAATGTTGAAACCAACCCAGGTCCTGAATACCAGTGCAGGCATTGCAACAAAATCTCCAATTCATTAAGAGCTAATTCTTCTCATCAGAGAAATGCCCATTCAATGGACAGCAAGTATGTTTTTTACTGTGCTGCTTCCTCATGTACTAAGGAAATATTTTTGTCCTATAAAGCGTTATATCATCATGTCTGGTACAGGCATCTTAGTGTTAGAGAAGAAGAAATAGCCAACAGGGACATCAATGTTCTTGAACAAAGCCTTTGTACTTCTGAAGGTTGTCCTGTCTCCTTACCCTCTTTGCGTGCCTTATGCCATCATCTCATAAATGATCACGGAAAAAAAGATGAGAGGATAGTATGTCCCTTTCAAGACTGCGGACGTGGACCTTTCAAATTGACCTCCTTCAGAACCCACCTTAATGACTACCACAAAGGTTGGAAAAATGTTGAACCTGCAGAACAAAGGCCACTAGGTATCGAAGAAAATATTTTTGAAGACTTTCCAGACCACGGTATGGACAACCAAGAACAAGAAACTGTGATTGATTGGTCTGAAGATAATTATATGAGTGCAGATGATGATGATGCCGAAGATAATGATATCCATGCAATGGCACAAAATTTCTTCCACCAGGTGGCAAAATTTTATTTAAAGATGGAAACTGAATGCATGCTGGCAGCATCGTCAGTTCAAACCATGTCTACTAGCCTTGCCCACCTCCAACGACTAAACTTGGCTATCATAAAAAAAGTGTTGCTAAATGAGTTGCAGGACCTGGATATAAGTAAGGAAAGAATGGATTCTATTGTCACAAATATTTTGTATGCTGACAAAATGTTTTGTGTACATGTCAAGGAAGCCCCGGGACCTACCCTATCTACAAGAAAGCTAAGACTTGCGTATTACAAGAAGCATTTCTGTTACGTCAAACCTGTTGAAATTAATTTATCTCTTGATCCAACATCTCCAAAAACTATCCATGTTGTTTCTATTAGAAAAACTTTGAATGAATTAGTGAAATGTGAGTCTGTGAAACGCCAAATCAACCAGAGTTTTGAGGCACAAGCTCGTGGCGAAAGAGATGAAGATATTTTTAAGGATTATAGAGATGGAATGGTATACCAACGAAGTGAATCAGCCAAGAAAAAAACAATCGACCTTATAATATTTCAAGATGCTTTCAACGCTACCAAAGATTTAGGATCAACCGCTGACAAGTATGACACATTAGGCATGTACTTTGTAATTGGAAACATGCACCCTCACATCAGATCTAAACTTAAGTCGATGCAGCTTGTGATGCTTATTCCTAAATTTAAGGAAATGTACAAAACTTTCAAAGATAAGTGCTTCCAGCATGTTATTAATGAGCTTAAGGATCTGGAGACAAATGGTATTCTTTTTTGTGGTGAAATCATACCAGTAGTTCTACAATTTCTTGTTGGTGACAACAAGGGACAGAACCAAATTGGTGGTTTTGTAGAATCGTTTACAGCTTTAAATTACTGTCGGTTTTGCCCAATGGGTAGGGACCAAATTCGAGAAACTCCTTGGGCTGTGGGACCTCTTCGTTCTAAGGAAAGCTTCAATGAAGACTTACGGCTTTTTAGAGAAGCAAAAGCAGAAGGAAGTGACATTGAGCATATGCGGGGTGTGAAGACTGACTGTTGTTTCAATAATTGCCTTCAAGAGTTTAACTCTATGGATCCTCGCCTTTGCCCATGCATTGCTCATGATGTTTTTGAAGCTATAATTAATGAGTATGATTTTTTTCCTATCATTGAAAGTCTTGTTGAAAGAGGCTGGTTTACTATAAGGGGCCTCAACAAACTTATCCAGAAATTTAAGTACAGTCCTCAAGACATCAAGAACAAACCAGTAAAAGTCAGAGCATCAAAACTTGGCGGTCACGCAGTTCAGAACTGGACTCTTTTGAGGTTGTTTCCTCTGATTATTGGCAAGGAAAGGATTTTGGATGCAGCAGATTCTCATTGGCAACTCTATTTAAAACTAAAAGAAATATGTGAGTATATTTGTGCCCCATCGTACACAGCCCAGCTAGTTGCTGATATGAAAGGACTTATTTACGAATATATGCAGGAGAGGCAAGAAGTGCTTGGAACGCTTCCAAAACCAAAGCACCATTTTGTGAGTCATTATGCTGATCTTGTTGTATTGATGGGGCCAATTATTCACCTCTTCACAATGCGGTTTGAAAGTGCCCATAGTTTCTTTAAAAGAGTTGCTCGAACCTGTAAAAATTTTATTAACATTGGTTTGACTATGAGCGAGAAAGCAGCCCTGTACTTCTGTTATCTCTCAACTGGAACCTTTATTGATGAGGGATTTTTAGTTCAAGACAAACAACCCTTAAACAAAAGTAAATATGGAAAAGAAATAGAAGATTATCTCATTCATCTTAACTTGTCAGCTCATACTAAAGAGATCACATCTGCTAGAGTTGACTCTGTCGAATTCAAAAAAGGATGCTGGATTTTGTTAGGAAATGCTGAAGAGAATGATAATGAGATAGTTATTGGTCATACTCAATGCCTTCTATTTGAAAATGGTGAAGTTAAAATATTGTTTTCTACACATAGAGCTACATTATGGGATGAATATGGCCTATATACGATTGATTCTAAGTGCTTGAACTACAAATGCATGCCTGTAAAAGATTTGAGCTATCCAATAAGTCAATCTGTTTACAACTTCTATGGCAAACAATGCTTTTCTTTAAAGCATATACTTTCTACATCCGTACCTAAAGGTTTGTTTGCTGGCTTACTTCTGAAAAACAATCTGCTCATGTTCCTGTTACTAATAACTTTGTCATTTTATTTGCAGAATAATACTCCGACTTCTTCTAACAAAAGTAAACCATTATACAAGAGACAGAACTAGTCTTCTAAGGACACAGATCAGCAGATTGATGTATATTGAGTAAGATTCATTGTTTTCAGTATTTGTTCACTTTACTATCTGAAACGTAAGTGTGCTTTTCAGTTAATCTCATCTGTTCTTTTAGCGTGTTGGTCTTTTCTCTTAATATATTTTTTTCATTATTGTGTTAAGGGCTTTTCTCGACTTCATCTAACGATTGTTTTGAGCCGTAACCTAAACAATTGAGTCTTGCACATGCTGCTAACTGGTCAAAGTCCTTGTACGGGAAATTATGCAAAGGACAGGAGGTAACTGTGTAAATATTTGTATTGATTGTCTCAACTGTATTATTTGACTAATGGTTAAATTGATTTTTATTTTCAGTTAAGTTGCGTTCTTTAACTAAATTAAATTATTTCCAATTTTACACCAAGTCTGGGAAAGACCACCCACTTGTGCTCATTGTGGCTTTGCCCCTAATGTTATACCAATGTGAGTTATGAAGCATTGTCCTCAGCTTTACTACTATTCTCTCTAGCTTATTTAATCTAACTTCCACAGTTCAAACAGCCTGACAATGCATCTGGACATCTGTAATGAGGAAAGAAGCTGCATTTTAAGTTGACATCTTATTAATACTGTACCTATGACGTATACATACAAGTAAGTTTACAAAATTATTTGAGATGTTTGTGTTTGCTTTGCAATTTTTTCTCTCAACTTATCACTATCTCATGTTTTATTCAGGTTTAAGTCAATCAATAATTTACATATACTGTAACAGTCCAGCTGTTGCCTATTTAAGCTGTGAACCAAGTCTGTACTATTTTAAATCCCAACCTGGCTGGCAATCGACAAGAAGATATAATGGTAAGCCTAACACTTCCGCTAACATTGGTTCAGTATTCAGATCTTATTTGTTTAATATTTAATAACTTACTTTCAGAAACAGCATACACAGTTTGGTGACACAAGATTTCCCAGTCCATGCTAAGAAGCATCCTGAAGAATGCTACACATTAGAAAGATAAATTAGATTTCTATTGAGAGCTTGGTGAAGTATTCAATACTTCTGATTTGTCTCCTCTTCCCTCTTCAGCTGTCTTCATCTGTTTCCTGATGAGGGTCAGAGTTTTGCTGAAAGTAAGTTAAACTTACATTTTTACTTGAGGCTTGAAGAGACCTTGTCGGATTTAATCTAATGGTAATTTTAGCAGACATGAGATGAATTAGAACTGTTAGGGCATTGTGAACTCTGTTTGTGGTAAATAATTAATATATATCCTTTTTTGTTTCCATTTACAGTTAAACCTTTTTGTGAGGTAAGCAGTTTATTTTTCCACTTTGAACAAATGTGTAAGGAAGTCAACAGATAGCTGTCGTGTGCCTGCCCGCCTGGTAGGTAGGCAACCCGTATCCTACAACGCTTGGGTGTACCGCGGGCCTGCCTACACAGAGTTCTGCAGGCGTTATGCAAAACATAGTTTTGTTCTGCCAACTTTCGTCTGAAAGACTCAGCATTTAGAAAACGATACCTGCTGATAGCATTTGTAAGTTAAATTTTATCTCCAAATTTATTTCAACTTCCAGTTAAAGGGATGCTGAAGGAAAATAAGGTTTTTTGTTTTCATATTTTGATGTATGTATTCATTTTGCTTACAGCTGTGCCATATCAAGTCCATTCGGATTAAAATTGAGCTGGGATCATGGATTACACTTTTAGACCCCAATTTTTCAAAGGAATCTACCAATGCACATTCTACTCTTTTAGATTTTGCTTACAATTGGAAAAATTTGTGAGTAGGTGTTAGAGGAAGGATGAAGTAAAGATCAGCTTGATGGATTTAACTTTTGATATTTATTTATTGTTTACTTGCTCCCTTAAAACTGCAACAGACATTCGATTGTAAAGAATTTAAAGAGGAAAGGTTTCAGGTCAACGTTTCTATTTGGTAATGTATTGTCTACAAAAATGTTTTTCGGCAGGATATGTTGTGATATGTCTTAATCCAATACTATCATAAATTCAATGCCCATGTATGTAGAAGTTTATTATGTAAGTTGAAGTTTGTGTACATGGGAAATGAGAGTACGCAACTTTCATTTCAAACATTTTCTTTTTTAAAAAATTTCCCGCATCCAAGTGACGAAATATTTATCACATGACATACCATCATGTGACGACACAGCAAATTTATCAGACCTCACGAATAAGTTATCACGTGACAATACATTTATCTCACCCTTTGTGACGAACCATTCATGAGTAAAATTAAGCAGTGACTTTGTCGTAATGTGACGACTTAAAGTTTTACAGTGCGAACGGCGCAGAGAACCCGCCCGTTCACTCCGCCGCGGAGTTTAGTGACGAGACATAATCCGGACATAGCGGGGTTATTAAGCCCACCTGAGTGGTGGCTCCGCGGCTCCACACCATGGCTCCGCGCATCGCGCCCCTTAGGACGACGTTAAGCCCCCTCCACAGTGCGCTGCAGCACAGATGGGAACACTGCTCCAGGTTCAGGTTATTAGCTCGCCCGTACCTTTAATCTTTATTGACCCACAAACTGCTTTAATTCACGTCGTCGAATCGCCCGCGCACACCGACCGTTTTCCTTGTACGCGATAATTACGGCGTGACTGCTCTCCTGAAGCCAAGGGCGAAAAGATAAGTAAGTGGTGGTGCCTGCGCCTGGCGATGACTTACTCTGGCGCGGCGGCTAATTATATGCGCTTTTAATGGCGACCCCCTCCAGGCGACCTCCGCCCACTCGCGCGACGCGCATTTGCATTTTTAATCACGTCTAAAATGTGCACCGTTCGTCTGCGCTTTATGGCGTCTCGTCGTTACGCCGGCCCCCGTTGTGTCAGCAGGCCCGCGGCTCGTCCCGGGTGGAGCCTCGTATAAGCTCACCTGACCCTCGTTACCGCCGCCTGCGCGACGCCTCGACCCACGCACGCTACGGGGACCTCACTCTTTTTTTATGTTTGAGCGAGTGGCATTGTAAGCCCCTCCCCCCCCCTGAACCACCGCCAGAACCACGCTGACTGCACACCTCGTCCGTCGTGAATGTGTATGTTTCACTGTGAAAAATATCCTCGCGAACCTGACAACATTTGTTACAATTTTCATTTACATAATATTTGTTGTAAATTTGCGTCAGCCCAACTTGCTTGACGATCAAATCGAAGATGATACTAAGTGCCTGTAATTTTACAATGTTAACTTGTAATTTTACGTTAAAACACCAGTGAAATTCCATAAGACAACTATTACTTTTTAGTGTTTTCTTATTTCAAAATTTTAAATTTCTTTTTTTGCGAAGCAGACTTTTGTGAAAGACACGGAACCGCTCGATTAGAGTATGGGCAGCCCGTCGTTTTCAATTTGTAAATGTTCGGTTTTTTTAATGCTTCCTGCCACAGAGGTAAAATGACGAAACTTACAATCTTAATATACAGAGGATACATTGGAAAAATACGGGTTGGGAAAAACAGCAACTAGACGCAGGGCAACTAGATGAAAAACAAGGGGAAGATGAAGTAAACAAAAACTCACGGAACCCGAATTTGTTTTCTTGAAGCCGCAGGCAGGCTCCTTGCGCACTCCGTCCGAGTCGAGCCTTGTGGCCCCCGGGCGGGCGACTTCATCAGTCACGTTATACTTGCATTGCC